GTTGGAAATCGCCCAGCACGATGTGTGCCTGTGGCATCTGTGTCTGGCATGTTGGTGAAAGCTGACATTTAAGAGTTACCCTAAGGATCAGTACCATTTCATTTCTGAAGATTCTCAAAGCTTTGTCTTCAAAATCAGCTGAAGTGTTCTTTGTGGATGCTGTGATTCTGGCTTCCTTGGTATTCCAGATTGCGAGGCCGACAGCGGAAATAACAGTGCGGCTAGCCCCTCGTCCTTGCTGATAGCTTGGTTTAGTGAGCAGCCCCAAAAGCGATGCCACAGTTGTTCCCCTCCCTTCTCCCTGAATCTCTTGGTCTTTTTGCCTTTGATTTCCATCTTTGCTGCACTTTATTTTTATTATAGGGAATCATATACCTGGCACAGGGACATGCAGTGTAGATTTATGTGTCGATTGATTAAAATACTGTGAAATGTAAACATATATTGGGTATGGTAAAATTATTTATATAATTTAGAAACCTATTCTTTACTTGTACCTCACTAATAGCCACGTCTGACCAGTGTGTCATTCTCTGTGTGTTTACTGAGAAGCTCACGCTCCCAACAGTGCAGTGCAGACTTCAACGTCAGAAAGAGTGGGACCAGAACCGCTCCTAGCCTTCAGGTCTGACACGGAGAAGTGCGAACTAAATGAGTCAGTTTTGCTATATGAATTTTAACAGAAATAACTAACGTAGATGACTTTGCCAATTCACAGAAAAGGCTGATTCCACAGCTGAGATGTGATGCTGTATATAGGTTCCTGCTTTGTATCTGTGAAAACTAAGGCTTTTAAAAGAGTGGGAACATTTGAGAATGACTTTTTGTAGCCCTTTAAGTAATGGAATGTTTATTCTACCAAGTGGGTTAAATTTAGTCTCTGGGAAGCAGATTTGTTCTCCTGTAAGTCACAATGGAACGTTTATCTTTGAATCCCAAGTTTAAGGCTGGAATATCGAGGTTGTTAAGCTGTGGTTCCTTAGCATTTTTAAATAAGTCTAAGAATTCTCAGAGAATGCTAGGGTGTTCCATTTATTTCCAGGTTTACGGATTGTTAAAATTCCTTGTTTTTTGAAAGGTAATAAAATGCTAGGAAATGCTCCTATTCATAATCGTTCTTTCCCTTTTCCTTTCCTCTCGTGGCATGCCTGGCTGGCTAGTGCTAATGTGTGCACAGTTTGAATGACTTTCAGGACAGAGGCATTTTCTTTCCAACTTGCTGGAAGTCCTGGGTTTTGTGCCCCACGCTGGGGATTGTGCGCCTTCTTTGCCCGGAGCACAGCTTTTCTGCACTTCTGCTCCTTCGTAAGGCAAGCAGCTAGGTGAGGGGGCTTCCAGTCTCCCTGACAGAGACTGTGGATCTCTAAGACGATTGTGGTTTCCCCAACAGCGGGCCAGAAACTTTATGGAGAAATGTAAAGAAGCTAAGAAAAGCTGTGTGGGTGAATTCTGTTGCTACTGGGAATATATACAGCGATTCTAAAGTCTTGATTGTAGCATTCTTGTAAGAAATCAAACGGGGAATTATAGTAGAAAGAAGAACCATTTTCTTGATTTAAGAAGTTCTAAGGATTTTTAAGAGAAGGAATTATTTAAATGCTATAAATGGTTTTAATAAATCTGTGGCCCCTGCAGAGTCTTGGCTGCAGTCCACCAATATTGGCACCTGAAATTATTGTGACCTTGTCACCAGAATGTTCCTAGTGGTTAACATTCCTTAATTTCTTCGACTTCTGGACTGGCAGAACTACTCAGCAAGTTCCATGAGGAATGGACAAAATATTGTAAATTTTAAATTTATTTTTCCATCTTTTTTCTCTGACATTAGTTGTACTCCCTTGAAGATGTGTGTACAAGGGTTGTGTGGTGGTTGAAACTGACTTGGCTCCTCCCTTTCTGAACTGACCCATCCACAGAACAGAGCTTGGTGAGTAGGCCCCATGTCCAGGAACTGCCTGAGCATCTGCCTACTTTGAGAAGTTGCTTCTTAGTTTTTCTTTTTGTGAGTTAGCAAATACCAACTAAACGTTTAAATAGGACATAGGCAGATGAACAGAGGGTTCAGGACAAGAGCTCCTGCTTCCTCCAGCCTGCTCTGGAGACCTGACAGGTGGAGCAGGAGCCTCGGCTGCCCTGCATCAGGGATGCCTAGGGACCCCGTGTCCAGCTGAGGTGACAGCCTTTCTTTTAGGCACTCAGTGAAGAGCACAGTTATTGAACACTGCAGTAACCTCCGTATTAGAGGACCTGAATGCCCTAAGCTTTCTAGTACCAACTGTGGTGGAGCTGGCTTTGAGACTGAGTCGGAGATGAGTTGGAAGCCAGCCTCTCCAACACCCAGTTTGTTAATCTGAACAGATGTTCTGCTCTGGTCTGTGGCAAATTCCAGAGAATTTGCATTAGCTCTGATTATTTTACAGCATTGTAGCCGTTTTCTAGTATTTTCTGTGTCACATAAAAAAGTTAGTAAATTCAGAATTTCAGCCCAGTTGATTTGCTTCAAGTGGCCCGAGACCTTTGGTTATGTTGGGCTAATGATTCACCACTGACAGGATTTGGGTTGTACGGATTTGAAATTCAGCGGGTTGGCGTTGATAGTTCTGTCGCATGAGCAGGAAGAGCTTGCTGAGCCAGTGAGCCCCACAGAACCTTCCCGGTAACACGCAGCCTACTGGAGAAGACAGGCTGTGCCGAGGAGGCGCCCGGTGTGGCTGTGCACCGTGGGTGAGTCTCGCATCGCCAGGGCAGACTTGGAAGGCACGAGGCCAGTGGTGAGATGGGGTGAAGCAGGGTAAGGTGCGCTGAGAATGTCCGCCCTGCCTGTCTCGCGGCTCAGAGGAGATGGCTTGCTTATTCAGGGTGTCAGCGCACGGTGCCTGTTCAGGCTAGGAGTGAACGGAGCAAGGAGGAGAGGTGCGTGGCTGGGGAGAGTTGCAGGTGCGTTAGTCGCTGTCCCCCTTTGTTAGGACTGCGCACGGTGACTCTCTGAAGAGGGCTGTCTCTTTCTGTTTCCTTTCCACGTCTCTGTCCCTAGTGCATGATTGGGAAGGGTTAGGTACTGCTTTTGTGAGTGAGTGGTTCTCTTGTAGTTTATGCTGTTGAAAACATGTTGCTATTATAGGTGAGTATCCCATAAAACAGACTGAAACGAGCATACTGTGGATGTAATTTCATTTCCCTGCTGGGTTAAACTTCCACTTGGACTTGAATACCATAGCCTAACCCTGGAGCCTTTCAGACCACGGCATTGTCAGTTTTTCAGTTTGAGTTTGACCCAAAGTTAGTTTATTCATTTTTTTCTACAGTGTCAGTTCAGCAGCATGAAGGGTACCTATGTTTGGCTAATGTTTTTTCCATGTTTGTATTATTCTAAAGCCCAACATTTCTTTTGGAAAGGAAGATAAATTTTTTCTTTGACATCCTTTTTCTCCATTAAGTAAAACAACAACAACAACAACAAAATAAAAACAAAACAAAGACAGCCGGATTTTAGTCTTCTCCCTTGTGGGGCAGTGGTGTTCACTCCAGTGTGGCCTGGCCTAAAGCACGTGGATCCTCTTATCCGGGCTGCTGGTACAGTGTGCATAGGGGCCGCACTCCTGGCCACTCTGCGTGAGGTCAGGGGTGCGCTGGTTTCCTGGTCTGTGGCCTTTCAGGATGTCAGTAGATGGAGGATTGTAACCCTTTCATGTGTTCAGGAGAGCACTCTGCAGACTTGGGCCCGTCTTTACCAGGGAGAGGTGCTCTCTCTGCAGGCCACAGGGCCATCGGGAATGAATAGGCTGGTCCAATGCAGCCCTGTGTGCAGTCTGTGTGGCCAGAGCTGGGCCCATGCTGGGTAGCAGAGAGGAGCTCGGACTCAAGCCTGGCCCACAACCCTTGCTACAGACAGATACACCTAAGTGAGGCCCGGGGCTGGGAGAAGCCGTGACAGTCAGCACAGGGGACCCGGACCCAGGCTTGCTCTGCAGCCCTTGTCCCAGGGGGTGTTCTGTGTGTGAATCCTGCCAGCCCCATGGGTTCTGAGGAGGAACTTCAGGGACTATGGGATGGTATACAGTGTAGGAGATCATTTATGGGGCGTTTATATGACCAGTTGTGCATCATTGCTTAATTTTCCTTATCCTCAGTTGCCTAAGTTGATAGTAATGCTTTAAGTTTGCAAATTTACTTTTAGTGTCCTCATGAAGGAATTCCCTTTTCAGATATGGATCTGTACAGACTTGGGGGACTCTGTTCATTGTGGCCCACAGGGATTTGGCTCTGTACACCTTTATATTTCGCTAGTGTGTGCTGGCATGGGTGCTCTTTCAGGCTGCAGAAGTGACATTTAGTGTCCTCATGAAGGAATTCCCTTTTCAGATATGGATCTGTACAGACTTGGGGGACTCTGTGTTCATTGTGGCCCACAGGGATTTGGCTCTGCACACCTTTATATTTCGCTAGTGTGTGCTGGCATGGGTGCTCTTTCAGGCTGCAGAAGTGACGCGTCATTTCCCCGTGTTTCTCAGTATAAGATCGGTGCTGGCCCCACCGTTAATGAAGTGGGCTTTTCTTGGGCATGAAATGAATGAACACCAGAGCTTTAGGTACTTTGCCGAATATCACCACAGACAGTGGCAAGTGGCGGTGGAGTGGACAAGTCTCCTCCAGTCAGTCTGGAGCCTGGAGCTCTGCAGGGCCTGCCCTCCTACAGCTCCCTGTTCCATGGAGGCGTGGATGACACCAGGGTAACAACTGAGCCCAGAACCGTGAACCAGCAGAGCAGATGGGGAAAGAAAGAGAGGGTCCAGCTGTGTTACCCACAGTGCAGTGCTGGGCTCCTGTGAAATGCCCAAGGGACTGTCCTGCATTTCAGAGAAGGAAGGCCCTTACCTGCATGGTCCTTTTCCTCCCCAGAGCCCAGTTTCCTGGGGTCCCCAGATGGCATGCAAATGCGGGGAGCCCATGACAGTGACGACTCACACCAATGGCTTCATGCTTCCTGTTGTGTCTTTCAGAGTGCAAATTCACCTGTACCAGCGGTAAATGCTTGTATCTTGGTTCACTGGTCTGTAACCAACAGAATGACTGTGGGGACAACAGTGACGAAGACAACTGTCTCCTGGTGACTGAGCGTCCGCCTCCAGCCATCTTCAGTTGTAAGTCCCCTTCTTGCCTTGGTGACATTGCGGCTTGAGCACATTTGCAAGTGGACAGGAAGTAGGAGCATCAGGACATGGGAAGGCTGTTGATTTCCAGTTAAGGAAAGAAACTTGCATTTTCACAGGGAAATACTTTCTTCTTTTAGGACAGAAAGATAACATGTCTGAAAGTGGGAACTTGGTTCTGTTCTCAGAGATGGTTGTGACTGCTTTGGAATAGGCCTTGCTACTTACTTGAGAGGTGCTGATAGATTCCAGGCTATTGATATTGATGTATCAGTATTGATATATCTCTATATTGATATCTTGATTCTTCACACCAGCTTTATAGAATTTTTTTGTTATTGCCTCATGAGTAATTTAAAATATGCAAAGAAAGACGTGGTGAGCACATAATTAAGAAAGTAGATATATGTGAGTTGTTTTTTGTTTTGTTTTTTTTTTTGAGACAAGGTCTCACTATGCAGTTCAGACTGTGCTGGAACTCACTGTGTAGTGCAGGCTGGTCTTGACCTCCCAGTGATCTTCCTGCCTCAGCCTCCCAAGTGCTAGGATTATAGGCATGCACCACCACAGCTGGCTGTTGTTTAAAGGTTCTTATCACATGTTTTTCTATTAGACCTGGGTGGAAAGCAGCTACCGTGAGGTCTTGACCTGTCTAAACCCCTAAGGCTGAGGCATTGAGCATTTCTTGAACTTGAGATGGAGAAATCAGAGTTTAAAGCTCATTGATTTTTGATCTCATGGCTTGTAGACAAGAAGAAAGAATGCAGGAGAAATGGATTGTTGTTTTCTGTGCTTCCTGGGCAGGTGAAGTGGGCTAAGGGCGAGAATCTGCCTGCAGTGGCTCAGCTGGGAGGGTGTGTGCTGCACTGGCTTTGCAGGGGTCTGGATGCATGGCCCTGGGCCTGGGGCCCAGTCCCGAGCTGGTGCTGTTGGGAAGTGGGAGGGCTGGCTGGTGGTGGTGTCCTGGGAGGCTGCACAGGGGAGCTGGGACCTGGCCCTCCTGGTTTGTGCCCTGTGCTCTGTGTGTGCCCTGGCTGTGACATGAGGGGGAGCAGTGAGGCCTGGCCATGCACTGAGGCCTCCGATGCTGGGAGCCAGAGTACATCTTTCCTCTCCTGAGGTCAATTTATCCCAGGCATTTGTTATGGGACGAGCAGCTGATGGGTGCAGCCCTTCATGGCTCTTGCTGGGATCAGTATGCATGCACTCAGTCTCGGCACTCAGTTTTGCCCATGCTCTTCTGAGGAGTTAGATTTGATACAGATTTTAAAATGTTTGCAGTGGAAATGAGACTGCATAGAAACCAAACCTACAGATAAGAGAACAGGAGAGGACTTAAGAAAAGGCATGGAGCCGCCATTGCTCCAGCGCAAGGAAGGTGAGATTTGGGAAGGCCACTCTGACCTCTGCTCTCCCTCAGGCCTGCCTGGCCCAGTCCCTGGGACTGGGTAGCCGTGCCCTCCCCTGTGGGTGCTGCTATTGCTCCAGTGCAAGGAAGGTAGCCGTGACCTGAACCCCACCCTCCAGGCCTCCTGATTGGGCCAGTCCTTGAACCCATTCTGCAGAGGCATAGCTGGTTATAAAGGGTATTTTTCTGAGCTTCCAACTTAAAACATCTTTAAAGAAAGGGCGGGGGAAATCTGTAGTAGAACTGTGTGGAGTTCAATCCTGCAGGAGGTTGGGGAACTCAATTAGGGCCTTGCGGCCTGAGGTCTGTCTGCATCGCAGGGGTCTGCCATCGGCTAGCAGGGGGATAGGGGAGATAAGGGGATCTGGTTCTGCACATAGCTGCACATGTTGTATATTATGACAGCAGAGATATAGTCTGAAAGAAGCCCTTCAAAGTCATTTTTTTTCTTTCTTTTCCTCATTCCACTCTGCAAATTCTTTCTTTTTTCTGTCCTCTTTCACTAACTCAGTCTCTTGCTCCACCATATTATCCCTCATCTCCCTTTCTGTTCCTGCTCCTTCCCTAAGTCAGATTTCTTTTTTTATCATTTTTTCTTTTTTTTTATGTTCTTTTCTTCTGTCACTTTACCTCACTCATGAGTCAGTAGTTTCAAGGGAAAGTGAGCCCTTATTACTGTTAATGGAATATATTCTTGTCCTTATACTTGCACTCTGTCTATCCGTTTTGAATTTAACAGTTCCCTAAAGATTGTGTGGTCATTCTATGTCCTCTGGATTCACTTTAAACCTTCTCCAATTCTTTCACTTATCTACTCCTCTTATCCTAACTCTGCATAAGCCCCCATCCTAAATGGTAAATATGCTATATTGAAAATTGTATTCATTGCAAACATATTTTGGGCTGCTTCTTCATTTTAATTGAATTCACATGGATTAAAGGTGATCAATTAATGACTATCACAAGTGGTCAATTTGCAAGTTGTGCTTGATCCTATTGTGTTGCTGATTGTATCAATTGGGATAAAGGATTGCGATTGATTTGACGAGTTGTTTTCTCTGACATTATGAAAATGAGAATGTCTGTGAGTCATTAGAGACTCAAAAGCTAAAGCGCAACTATATCAGAAAGATTTAATAACCCAGAAATTAAATCAAGGACAACTGAACAGCAAAAATAAAAATGACAAAACACTTAAGCAAGACACAAAGACAGACTTCCAGTCCACCAATGGCAAACAGTAGGGCAAAGGAGGATGAAAAGTATGATAGTGAACCTCCAGGACACTCAGAACTCACAACACAGGAAGTAACAAAATAGATCAGTCAAGCTCTAGAAAAATTCACAACAGAACTCATTTCCCTGATAACCATAGAGATGGTGAGCAAAATGGAAGTCATGATTCGAGACTCTAGAACAGAAACTGACAAAAAAAAAAAAAAAAAAAAAAAAAGATGAGCTCAGAACCATAATAGAAGCCGTGAAGGCCCAGAATAAGAAAGAAATGGAAACAATGAATGCCCAACATAGGAAAGAAATGGAATCCATTAAACAGATTCAAACAGATATCCAGGAGATTAAAAACTCTATTGAAAGTGTATACAACAGAATAAAAGAATGTGAAGATAGAATCTCAGATATTGACAATAGGATTGCAGACAGTGACCGGGAAAAGAGAGGTATCTTAAAAAATAGTAAGGGATCAAGAGAGGTCTCTTAAAAACAGTAAGGGATCATGAGAAATTGATCCAAAAACTCCTAGATGATGCAAAGAAGAATAACATAAGACTGATAGGAATCCGTGAAGTAGCAGGAGAAAATGCAAATGACTTTAAAAAGCTCTTCACAGAATTAATGACAGAAAACCTCCCAAACAGAGGGGAAGAATTTGACATACAGATAAGTGAGGCATATAGGACTCCAGCTAGCCATGATCAAAAAATATCTACACCTAGACATATAATAATTAATATCCCAGAAATCCAACAGAAGAACAAAATACTACAAGCAGTAAGAGAAAAGAAACAAATCATATGCAAAGGAAAGACCATCAGAATCACAGCAGACTTTTCAACACAAACCGTCAGGTCAAGGAGAGCCTGGAGTGAGGTATTTCAAGTCCTAAAAGAAAACAACCTCCAACCTAGACTGATGTATCCTGCAAAACTCTCTTTCAAAATGTATGGGGAAATAAGATACTTCCATGACAAAGAACACCTGAGAAACTTTATGAATACCAAACCAGCACTACAAGGAATTCTAAACAGTGTCCCAGAAAAAGACAATGAAGATCACAACACCACAAGGCCCCACAGAGCAAATCAAATAGCCAAGGCAAAAATCTAAAAGGAGAGGGCAAAAAATTAAAAAGATTCAACAAAAGAACAATAACATGACAATAATAAGTCAGTACATATCAGTTATAACCATCAATGTCAATGGCCTCAATTCACCAATCAAGAGAAATAGACTGGCAGAATGGATTAAGCAGCAAAATCCAACAATATGTTATAACAAGAAATACACCTAGTGCAAAAAGAAGCCCATAGACTGAAAGTGAAAGGATGGAAAACAATTCTCCATGCAACCGGAACCCAGAAAAAACCATGGGTAGCAATCTTATTCACAGACAAAATAAATTTCAAACCTAAACTGATTGAAAGAAACGAGGAAGGCCACTACATCCTTGTAAAAGGAACAATTCAAGAGGAAGAGATCACAATCATAAACATATATGCACCAAATATTAATGCCCCACCTGTATAAAACAAATATTAAGTAACATGAAAAACCAAATAATCACTAATACAGTTGTATTAGTGGGAGATCTTAATACCCCACTATCACAATAGACAGGTCATCTAGGCAAAAAATCAACAACGAAATACTAGAAATGAACCAAGCTTTTGAACACATAGACTTATTAGATATCTATAGAGTGTTCCACCCCACAAGATCAGAATATACATTCTTTTCAGTTGCACATGGGTCATTCTCCAAGATAGAACACATACTACCTCACAGAACAGATTTGAAAAAATGCAAAAGAATTGAAGTTATTCCCTGTATATTATCAGATCATAGTGCAATTAAGCTGGAGATCAATAGCAGAAGAAACTGTAGGAACTTCACAAACACATGGAAACTGAACAACACTCTCCTGGACAATCAATGGATCACAGAGGAAATTAAAGAAGAAATCAGACAGTTTTTACAAATAAATGAAAATGCCAATACAACATATAGGAATCTATGGGACACAATGATCCAGTTCTATGTGGAAAATTCATAGCACTGAATGCCCACACTAGGAAAACAGAGTGAGCTCAAATAAACAACCTAATGATGAATCTTAGACTCCTAGAAAAACAAGAGCTCGAACAAGAGAGGAAATTATAAAGATTAGAGCAGAAATCAATGCAATGGAAACTAAGAAAATGATACCAAAAAAAAAAAAAGAAACAAAGAGTTGTTTTTTTGAAAGAATAAATAAAATCAATAAACCCTTAGCTAATCTTATCAAAAAAAAGGAAAGAAAAGGCTCAGATCCATGCAATCAGGAATGAAAAAGGTGAAGTCACAA